TTGGTGAAAGACATAAATATCCATCTGCCAGCCCTTTGTATAAAGGCCGAGAAGAAGGCCCCAAAAGAACAGAATGATAGTTGCAGGGAGATTGGAGGCTGGATTGGAAACGGTTGCAAAGAAGCAATGACGGAGAAAATTCTTTCATCTGAATCATTCGGGCTCAAAGAACAGTTGTTACTGTCTACCTTTTTGATGAGCCAGTCGTTCACCTCTGAACTGACTGTTCGGTTCAACTCTCTTCCTACGGGCGAGAGGAACCCGAAGGAGGCTACGCCGAAGGGCGGAGTCTCCTTCGGGGAGGTAAAAACTCAGCTCAGAACCCGTTTATACGGGTTCAAATGGGCTATTTTTGGCCGAGCCTAATGGCTCAGGAATGCCCACGTTAAAAAAGGCCTTGTGCCACATGACACCCTCGTGGGGGGGTGACTGAATATTGTCTACCTTTTTGATGATTTTTTTTTCTTTTCTTTTTGTCTTTTTTCTTTTTATCATTTTATGTTCTTTCTTTCTTTTTTCTTTCTTTCTTTTTTCTTTCTTTCTTTTTTCTTTCTTTCTTTCTTTCTTTCTTTGTATGATATTTTTTCTTTTTTTTCCTTCCCTTGCTTTTCCCTTGTTTTCTTTCATATTTACTCTCTATTTTTATACTCTAATATTTTTCTATTTCTTTCTTTCTTTTTCATCTTCTTAACTTAAATATTCTGATTAGACGATTTCTTCATTTAATTTTTATCACTTTTCTCTTTTCTTTTTTCTTTCTTTCATCTTTCATTATTTCCATCTTATTTTTCATCTTATTGTCAAAATTCCTTTATTTCATTTTTTCTTAGTATCTTTCTTTCTTTTTTCTTTCTTTCTTTCTTTCTTTCTTTCATTATTTCATTTCTTTTCTTGTTTTCATCTTTATCATTATAATCCCTTAATAAAAACATTTCCGTCTTCCATCTTTCTTTACTCATTTTGCTCTTTCTTTCTTTCTTTCTTTCTTTCTTTCTTTCTTTCTTTCTTTCTTTCTTTCTTTGCGTGTACCTTGTTCATATTAACCAACATTCAAACTGAGATTCCATTCATTAACTTCCTTCACCCCCCATTTCTTTTTGTACTTATTCTCTCTTCATTTCCTGTTTCGTTGTTTGCTGCCTTCTCCTCTTTTCGTGAAATTCTTCATGAAAATATCACAACGTAGTCAAAGATAATCTCGGAATCTCCATAAATACCATATGTGATAATTTTTTTCTTCTTCTTTTTGTTCACTCAAATCAGAGCAGATGGTAGTTTAGTGCTGATAAATATCACACTTGATTTCGGCCACAGGTCTTTCAGTCTTTCTCACAAACTTCCTGATATCACTCGAAGCACGTCTTAAAAACTTTCCACACACACACATGTACAAAACACACACACAGACCCGACAAATGTGTCTGCACAGACAATATGAATAACAGAAGTAACAAGAGGAATGTCTTTTATGCCAACGCGTTTCGTTCCATGGTAATGTTATTCGATGAACGAAACGTTTTAGTATAAAAGCTTTCCCCCCTGTCGTTTCTTATATATATATATATGTGTGTGTCTCTGTGTGAGTGTGTGTATGTATGTGTGTGTGTGTGCGTGCATGCGTGTGTGTGGGTGTGTCGAGCAGATGAATATATATATATATATATATATATATATATATATATATATATATATATATATATATATCGACCAGAAAGCTCTCGGATACGCAGAACTTTTGGACATTTTACACACTGTGTCCAGAAAAGAAACATTCGTACGAACACAAGAAAAATTGAATGAAAAGCTTAATTGCAATATCTTGTCAGTCGTCTTTTGAAATATATATATATATATATATATATATATATATATATATATATATATAGAGAGAGAGAGAGAGAGAGAGAAGAAAAGAGAGAAATTACATCTGTTCTGATACCTCTGTTTGAAAATCTATCTATCTATCTCAACCTTTCCATATCGATCTATGATAACCTAATGAACAAATAAGAAAATTTTATCAATCTAACCTGTTTCCCTTTTAATATTGCTTCATCGGAGAATGAAGTATGAAAAAAAGAGCTATATTGGTATTATATATAATAATAATGATGTTCATATCTATCTATCTATCTATCTATCTATCTATCTATCTATCTATCTATCTATCTATCTATTTTTCTCTCTTTCTATCTCAATCTGTTCATATATACAATTTACGATGGATAAAAAAGAGCACCATGGCGCAATATATATATATATATATATATATATATATATATATATATATATATATATATATATAAAGGTGAATCGTTATCTTTCACACCAGCAAATTCCGTAGACCCATGGGTTTTATCAAAGAAGTCAAAAACGAGATAAGACACTTCACTTGATAACAATTTGCAAATAACCTTTTCCAGAGTAAAAAAGATATTCTACCAAAAAAAATAAACCAAAGGCAGATCAATTATTTGTTTAGTTAAGAAATTACCAGTAATGTCCGATATTTACAACAAAAGGATACAAACTGAAGGTAGAAGTAAATTGAGAGAAAGGAATAAGATACTGCCTGAAAATAAGTTATATATATATATATATATATATATATATATATATATATATATATATATATATATATATATATTATATATATATATATATATAAGCAAGCAAAGGCCGGGTGCCACTGGTTCGCTTAGAGTGAAGGCGAGAGAAAAGAATGATGAAAGAATAAAAGATGAACGGGGGGAGGTCAAGGCATCACAAGATGGTGATTGTCGTTGCATTTAAATTTTGGGAGATTGTAGTTATCAGGGAAGTAAGTAAACGGATAGGAGTTTCACAGGCGCGAAATGCGAGAAAAGCTGTTGGAGTGGATGTGGCAGTTACATTTAACTATTTCAACGGTAAAAGGGCGGAACCCAGATGCTAATCTAGTAGCACGCCTAAATTTATGTTGACTCGACAGAAAAGTTGACATGAAAATATTTGTAGAAAAGACAGAGGGAAGCCACATTACGTCTGTGAGAAAGGGACTAAAGTTGAGATGCCAAGTCAGAATCGATGACATCGCAGATCCTTCACTAGATTTTGTCGAGAGTCTCAAGATGAACAGCTGGGGCACCAGATCTTATATGACAACAGTACTCTATTCCCGGACGAATGGTAGATTTGTAGATAGGTAAGATGGACTCTGACGAGAAAAAAAAACTTTTGGCACGACACAGTGAGCCAACTTTCCTTGCCGCAAATGCAGCTATTGATTCAATATAGTGGTTCCACTTCAAATCAATCGAAAGCGTGAGGCCAAGAAGGCGCAGTAAGATGGTTTCTAGCATCAACCATGCTAATGCCGGTCAGGGAAAGATCTCTGTGGTGGCTAAATGAGGACAGTTTCGTTTTGGGGGCATTAAAATTTACAAACAATTTCCTACCCCAATTAGCCACTGATTGAAGGTTCTTTTCGAGAGCAGCTGCCTAGGCAACTTTGTCAGTGCTGCCGGGTTTACGACAAGAGACAAGAATAAATGGTAGTGTCATCTGCAGTGTCATCTGCACAGATGCCTACTTGAGAGCTGATAATATCAGGAAGATCAGTGATGAACATCAGAAACAGTGTAGGACCTAGGATAGAGCATTGAAGGGACCCCCACTTTCATAAGAATGGATCTGGAAGCGTGCACGTGCAGAACGAACTTCATTTCATGATTTGAAAGGAATTCCCTCAAATATGTTTGGTTAAATAATATGGACAAAGTTCTGGTTATCAATTTAAAAACAAAATTCTAATTACCGAATTAGTTCTTTTGTGTTATTGGTAAGTTTGCCAAAAATCACATGATTTTTTATGGGTAGTTTGCAATGGGGCTACATTTTAATTCCGGCGTTCGCTCGTTAGATGGAACAAAAACAAAATCTTTTTTTTAAATACTTTGATCCCTCTTTTAAATTAAGTGTTACAACCGTAACTCATCTTATATATATATATATATATATATATATATATATATATATATATATATATATATATATATATATATATATATATATGTATATACCATCTCGGCGCTGTAATGGTTAGCAAGCTTGTCTCGCTAGAACAATTACGACTGAGTAGTGAGTTCGATCCTCACTGGGTGTCCCATACTTTCGGCCTTGTGCCACAGCTAAGCTACGCTTGGAAAATCGCTATATATATATATATATATATATATATATATATATATATATATATATATATGTGTGTGTGTGTGTGTGTGTGTGTGAAATATATAGAAAATAGGAAAAAGAACTCGTTAGGTAAATAATCCAAAGTTCTTTAGTACTTTTTATTATTTTTAAAAAACAGTGCTCGATACAAAAGTAGAGCCTCAATATAATTATTCATTTAAAAATATGATTCCATCGTTACATAAGAGTTCTCATGTTTCAAAACAAGAGGGGAAAACTTCAATATAATTATTTGAATTAAATTGAATTAAATTACTAAGCTCTGTTCCATCTTCAAGGTTCAAAAAAAAAAATTTCGCTTCAAGATGGAACAGAGCTTGGTACTTTAATTCAATTTAATTCAAATAATTATATTGAAGTTTTGGGATGTCGGTTTATTGAAACTGAGCTGCTTGACCCTACTACGTCGTATACGACGGGGGAGTCGAATATATATATATATATATATATATATATATATATATATATGAATCGTAATATTCTCATCACGATGGCTAGACTAAGAATATAGCAGACACCGGCACCACAGCCAAATGCGCTCTATATGGTGACAGGTTTTGGTAAAAAAACAGCGCATAATGTTGCAAGTGAGGCCCAGTTAGAAATAGCATCAGGTCGGTTAACGGTCTTCTCAGACGGTAATTATTAGTTGATATCTTAAAATAGTTGGGGGTCGATAACCCGTCAAAGAGTATTGCAATGATAATCGGGAGAGGACATTATCCGCTGTATGAAGAACTTCCCAAATCAGATCTATGTTCTCTTGCCGCGTAGCATTTAAGATAACAGGGGCCGATCATTCAGTAATAAATTCATTTAAATCTTGCGCAGAAAAAAAATCTTTTCCACTTCAGTGCACCATTCAAACGAGCCATTTGCTCAACAAAGTGCTCTGCAGTAACATTTGTCTACTTTCCAACAAAC